AGAAATGTGTTTATTCGTATTTGTAGATAAAAGTATGATGTCGATTTAAAAAATTTACCAACTTTTTATTTCAATCTTATGCGCAAACTGAGTTTTTTGGTTTCAGCAAATGGTTTGAAAAATGTGCAAGAGTCCGTCATTAAAACATATTTATTTTAGCAATGTGATCTATCTGTACGCATCGTTGGTTTGAGGTCGATGAACACCATGTGAGACAATGTCTCTCCTTATGCCTAATTTCGGTGCTAGTCAGAAACGAGTGGTTATCGGGACAAAATTGCCAGAGAAAATAACCGTTATCGGTTCGTTGGCATGGGATTCTGCAAATACCCCCTAAACGCTTTTCCGATTGACTCGGCTTCCCATACTTGAGCGTTAAAGTCACCTGCCATTATGACGACATCTGAACACTTTGCTTTCTATAACAGAATTGACAGCTTTTCATAGGACTCATCTTTTGCATCATCCGAACCGCAGTCGGTGAGTGCGTATGAGGAGATTCCCGAATAGGCACTGCTTAGTCTCACGATCCTTCCTAGTCCTTACAGATCCGTTCAGTCAAACAGCATATAGATGGCCGTTTACTGGTATCCAGTCGAGAAGCACACTTTCTACCCTTCAACTCAATGCTCTGCCTATACCAGAGAGTCCAAAAGAGCCTCCGGATATTCTTATGGCGAATTGTGAAGTTTCATAGCACTGGTCAGCTGAGGTCATTTTTATAACCACAGTCAGGTCTTATATATGCGTGCCTCAGAGACAAAGAACATATTCATGGCTACAGATTCCAGAGTTATGAAGGGTGATGCTTGCTGTCTGATTTGGCATAGCGTTTAAACGTTGAAAACTCCTATATTGAAATTGATGACAGGGTCTCCAGAGACTAGTTGCAATGGTCGTAGAGTGAGGTATGGTAAGGCGTAATAGGCTTAATATTAGTATTGGGAGGCAGTTGAGGTGGATAGATTGTGTTTGATCTGATCTTCTCTACTAGTTGAAGCGTGTGGTCGGTAGATACTTCCGGGCTTCCCACACTGTAGAACGCTGGTTCTTCTTCGTGTGCCTGTAAGAGGAGGATGTAGTATGTGGTTACAAAGGCCACTGGCATCTGCTTGAGACTGGTCACACATGTCCTTTTTGACAGTTTGGTTTTTCGACTTTGAATCCGACTATAAATTCCTGTGTGAAGCATCGGTAGGCGGCGGGGAATGTGGTGAGTGTGTGTTACGTTTGATGCTGACCCTTTAGAAACTTACTCCCTATTTTGAAGCAGCATCAGTATGATGCTGGTGATCATTTAAGGGGAACACGTTGCTACTTTGACATCCCATCCAACTGGGAGCATTACGACTGTAGAAATTGACAATACAACGGTAACTGCACTTCGTCTTACCATTATCCAGCAGATCTTTGTGCCATGGTAGGACGTGGGGGAACAGGCGTTCCAGCAGCATAGCTCGTCGGGTCATTGCGATATGCAAGCCCGACCATCTTGTCAAGGTAGTAGCTAGCTGTCATTGAAATCAATGACAGCATCTTGACCTGTGTTTTCATTGATGCAACAGCATAATTTAATTACCAGATTTGAAGATGAAACTAGCACAGCATTCTACTGATTGAGCTATACAGTCTTGACGCTGAGCTGGTCTAGGCTTCACTTTGGCAATAAGAGTTTTCATCGGTTGCCATGTAAATCAGTTAAGTTTACCATTGTCATATTAATTGTCCAGTAAAGTATTCATATCCTATTTCAAATTGAGTTAAATTATACGGACGAGGTGATGAATTCATTGTTAAGTTAGACTAACTGAGATGGATTTTCTTATTTTCATGTTTCCATTACTGTTTCTTTTACTTCAAAATCAATTAGAGTAACCGCTTTCAAACTCGCATGGGTTTATTACAGTTATTGTGTACTTGGTTTACTAGCTGTTCTCAAGCGATTACATATTTTTTAAATTCAACCAATTCGAGAGAATTGTCAAGCTCTTTAAACAATCCTACAGAAGCAACAAATCGTGGGTCGTATTTATCAACCCTTATTGCAGAGGTATGTGCAGTGGATAACGATGAAAATGAAGCACTAATTCGTGGATTGACTACACTTATAATTTGCATTTGTGTAATATACCACCCTGGAATATACATGGATTTGACAAGTAACTTTTCAGTTTTTGTCAACCATTTGTTTCCTTTATTTAAATATTTTGATGATAGGCTTCTTCGTTTTCAAGTTCATATAGATATTCTTTTTTTGTAGCTAATCTATAGTGATAAATCCTAGGCTTTCGACTAAAGAAAATCATCGATAGTACTCATATGTGCTGTTCGTTAAAGGCATGGGATGAATCATGCTTTGGTGTTTTCTCTTGGTTTATTCATCAACCCTCTGTTGGCTGACTTATACAGTGAATATATTCCACGGAAAATTATCAAGCCTTCTGCTTATAACGAAGCGTTAAGATGTAGTCACCTAAAAATACGACTATTATGTAGAAGGACATGAAGCCACACATAGACGGTATCATCTAGTTTTAGTACTTTATGTGAATATTGTGGCAAAAAATTGAAAATTGTTTCCTGACGTCGAATTTTCCTTAAGAATATCAAAAGTCAAGAAATGTGTTTATTCGTATTTGTAGATAAAAGTATGATGTCGATTTAAAAAATTTACCAACTTTTTATTTCAATCTTATGCGCAAACTGAGTTTTTTGGTTTCAGCAAATGGTTTGAAAAATGTGCAAGAGTCCGTCATTAAAACATATTTATTTTAGCAATGTGATCTATCTGTACGCATCGTTGGTTTGAGGTCGATGAACACCATGTGAGACAATGTCTCTCCTTATGCCTAATTTCGGTGCTAGTCAGAAACGAGTGGTTATCGGGACAAAATTGCCAGAGAAAATAACCGTTATCGGTTCGTTGGCATGGGATTCTGCAAATACCCCCTAAACGCTTTTCCGATTGACTCGGCTTCCCATACTTGAGCGTTAAAGTCACCTGCCATTATGACGACATCTGAACACTTTGCTTTCTATAACAGAATTGACAGCTTTTCATAGGACTCATCTTTTGCATCATCCGAACCGCAGTCGGTGAGTGCGTATGAGGAGATTCCCGAATAGGCACTGCTTAGTCTCACGATCCTTCCTAGTCCTTACAGATCCGTTCAGTCAAACAGCATATAGATGGCCGTTTACTGGTATCCAGTCGAGAAGCACACTTTCTACCCTTCAACTCAATGCTCTGCCTATACCAGAGAGTCCAAAAGAGCCTCCGGATATTCTTATGGCGAATTGTGAAGTTTCATAGCACTGGTCAGCTGAGGTCATTTTTATAACCACAGTCAGGTCTTATATATGCGTGCCTCAGAGACAAAGAACATATTCATGGCTACAGATTCCAGAGTTATGAAGGGTGATGCTTGCTGTCTGATTTGGCATAGCGTTTAAACGTTGAAAACTCCTATATTGAAATTGATGACAGGGTCTCCAGAGACTAGTTGCAATGGTCGTAGAGTGAGGTATGGTAAGGCGTAATAGGCTTAATATTAGTATCAGGAGACACTTGAGGAGGCTGGGAACCCGGTGGTTGCTGGTCCGAATCCTGTCATGTCCGACATTCCCATTTCACCCTCAATTATCACCCAGTATTAATATACGTCCGCCGAACCACGGCTATCTCAGATAATCAAACTGATGAAACTGAATTGTATCCGGAAATTTTTGAGTAATTTATTAGTAATATGTCAGGTACTTGCTTCGTGCTGTTTAGCTTTGACAATGAGACTCCACTTAGAAAACTGCCGTCAGTCTGTTTCATAGGTCGTCTTCGTGCTCATACAGTACAAAAGCTACAAGATGTAAACATCAATTCTTCGCGGACGATAGCAGTTACCTTAACGTGGTGGTCGGGCTTGCATATCACAGTGACCCAGCGAACTATGCTAGTGGAACGCTTGTTCACCAGAAAAGTCTGTTGGGTAGTGATAAGACGAAATACAGTTGCCGTTGTAGTGTAAATTGCCATACTATTATAGGGGTCTGAGGGTAGGATCATACTGCTGCAGGCTGGATGTGTGTAACAATAGTAAGGTGATGACCAGTAGTGCCATGCTGATGCCGCCTTCCCAACAGTAAGTGCGGGTTAGGAAAGGTCGGCCCCAAAATAACACACCATTATCCCCCGCAACCTTTCGGTGCCGGTGGTATGGATTCTCACTATCCGGCGTTATAACAGCATAGACTCAAAACAACAACCCACAAAGTGTCGTGTATGACAGGTCTCCAGCAGATGTTCCATGGGCTCTCCGGTCACAAACCATTTTCTCTGTTAGATACCTTAAGAAGAAATACTCTTTTATGGTGTGGGCAGTCGGGTAGTGTCAATCGCCCACACGCTTCCAGTAGTACACAAGACCTGAGCTACGAGGTCCGACTGCTGATCAGGTTTTTATTTCACTTCAATCATCAAGGGCTTTATCCAACTGCTATCTGAACTCGTGAGGCACTATTATCGCTTGATCGTACTCATAGTGGTTGCCCGATCAGGAATTCTCATGCCAATCGAATTCTACTTGAATTAGAAAGGGAAAGCATCATATTGATTGTCAGTTTTATTGAGATAGCAGTGGTTTGACAGACATGCATTGACATTGGGTGGTGATTGAAGTGAAACAAAAATTTGGTCAGTAATCGGGTCTCGTAGCTCAGTTGGTAGAGCACTGGGCTGAAAACCCGGTGACCACTTATTCGAATCCAACCGCGGGCTAAACCTTCATTTCATCTTCAGTCATCACCCAGTATCAAAATGATGAGTATACTTTGAAAACAGAACTCGTAAATGATACGTAGAACGTAAGGAACAACAATTATCTTACGACAAATAAAATGGTCAGGAAATCACTATAACCCGACAATCCTGATGACTTCAGAGTCTACAGCTATCTATTTACAAGTATAAAATGTTATAAATGTTAGACAGCAATTAGGAAACTCACCTGCATGGCCAATTCCGCGTTAACAACTTTTTGGGCGGACCAACTTTTTGATGGGACATTTTCAGTTGAATGCAAGTCAAACAAGAAGGAAAGACGCTGAATAAAATTTCCTTCCAAGAACAAAATCTGGTTGGATGGATTACCATCTAATAGCTGAAGCAGCAAACGAAGACAATCTTCCACAACGACACCCCCATTACATAAACCTTCTGAATAGATAATTTTCAGTAACCGATCAAAAGCATTCTCAAACGCTACGATTTTTTGGATATTCGTGTTTGATTTTGTAAGTTCAGTCAAAAGAAGGATGACCTTAAGTAAAAAATATCAAAAAAGATCACCAATACCGTAGGAATAAAGTAAGCAATCTTAGCAACTGAACAATATATACAGTCCATTGATGCTAAACCCAGATATTGTAGTGACATGATCAATGCTACTGCAATAGTAGCAAATTGTGAAAATCCCTGTCCCAGCAACCAATAACTGACTTTAAGGCAACAAGACCCGATAAATTTGTTACCATTGAGATTGAGAAGCATGGGTTTAAACATCAAGTATTTATGGCACTGGCAAAAGATCATTACAGAGATCTTGAAAACTATAGTAAAACTCACATCATTTCGTAAAACTTCATGTGTGTCCGATAGGATATCCACAAGTTTTGAGACCCCAGTACGACATTGCAAAACAGCTGTCTGCGTATCACTTAGACGATTGATGGAAAGCACTGTAAGAAGTCGCATAGCGTTTCTGCGTATAAAACCTTCAGGTGCCTAAAGAGTAAAAAGTTCAAGATATAAATGCCGCACGATTTGATAATGAATATTAATGAGTGAAAATGTGGTGAACTGTCCTGTTGACAAGCGAAACTTCAGCAAACCTTGTCGGTCAAATTCTTTTCAAAACTTTGACACCAAACTAATAAGCTTACAAATCTTAATCCTAATATACATGCTGACTCCCATACGTTAGACAAGCTCTTAATAAATGAATAATGGAAATGGAAATGACCTCAAATAGGTAGGCCAAGAAAGAACCCTGAAATTACACTACGATATTCAGACTCAGTTTTCTTAAAACACCCAAAATGATATAATAATTTAATGAGTCCCAAAATCCCCCCAAAGAATAAACTGTTGATCAGAGGCTATTAAAATAAAAATTCACATCAAAAACAGCGTGTTTCTATGTTCGAAGCAATGAGTCACAACTGGTGCGATAAGGTTTGTCATACTACGGTGAACGCTGCTTATAAGGATGCATATCCGCAGATACCCAAACGTGAAAAAACAGAACGGTCACCTAGTGAAGATTCTAAAGGTCAAGAACTCAGCACACTGTGGTACCAAAAATGTAATATCTGACTGACTATTGTGAGCTTTAATGTTTTTATTATACCACACAAGATAACTTGAATGCCCAACTTTTCCCTTGGGTTAGTTACCTTTTGAATAGCATTACAAGCGCGTAAAAACTTCCTTGTAAACTGCGGTTTTCAGCACAACGGCAAGTTAGTTATCATCTCTATAAATGCTCTTTAACATCCTCGCTAAAATGCCACCGAAAAACATGAAACACGCAATGGACGTATACAAACTGTCGAGTTGCTGTTTAACTTACATCTAACAGCGAAATTAAAAGCTCATAATTCTCAATGTTTTTCATGTACATTTCTGTGAACTGGACACCAAGATCCGCGGGAATATTGACCATTCATGAGGCTCAACTAAAAAATTGCTCTAAAATATTGTCTAACCTTGATCATTTTCCCCATCATTCATTACAGCATAAAGACCCTCTAATGCGTAACAAACGGAATCTGAGTCTTCCCTAGAAACAATAAAAAAAGTCTACATCTATGACATACCAATCCGATTTTAACACCGACACAAATATACTCATAGCTTGCGTCCCCACTTCCAGTCTGTATTTCTAAATGCTAGGATAAATAGGTTTTTAAGATAACAATCTACCTTGGAAAGGGCTTTAAGAGTTCGGAGAGCATCTCTCTTGTCATCAATTAGGGTTGAAGACTGGTAACGATCCACTAGCTTATCAACCTTTAACCAGATAATGCGAATTTTCCAAAACATACTATATCAGCTCCAACAACTTCATCTGACTGCAGAGAGGCACCTAGGTATTTCGAAATATCTCCATTTATGGTGAGGTGGAAAAGAGAAACGCAATGCTTAAACTGACCGCTTCAAACTTCACATCGTAGAATTGGCGTACGAGGGTTACTTGAGTTCCACGTCTGTCTTTTCTTAATCTTTTTACGAACTATTATAAACCAACCGATTTCTTCACGCCCACTTCTAGGTCTTGCGTAAAGGTTCCAGGTCTTTGGTGGATTCCAATATCCAATCCTATATTGATAGTATGAGCGTAGAAAACTGATAGTTTTTGATCTCTCGTGTCTAGTTTTTAGGGCTTCCTTCGAGTTGTTCAGTTCACTTCTACAGTGGACGAGGAAATCCCCTCTGCTTTCATGCTTTTAGCCTCGGTGAGGTGGATATTTTGTGGGTTAGTAAGTTGTAATTGTAGAGTGGTTGGGGAGCGCGGGTTGCTGAGACGTTTAGGGGACTGCCGTGACTCCTGTCTGTGTAGGTACCTGAAAGAGACTAGTAAGGTAGTGGCAAAAGAATGAAGAAGAAAAAAGAAGATAAGGGAAGAGAAAGAGGAAAAGAAAAAGAAAAGGAGGGGTGAAAAAGAGAAATATGAGTGACAGAGAGAAAAGTATGTGGGAATTGCCCGAATGGTAGCGTGGGTCTGGTTCCTACAGAGGAACTAGTAGAAAATGTAGGTGTTTTGAGGAGAGAGTGAGCAGTAGGTAGGAGGGAGTTGGGGGCTAGTGAGGTTGGTGACTACCTGGGTGCGTCCGTGGTAGACCATGCGAGGTAACATAACTGTCTAATTGTCTCTTGAATGAGCCGAGTGAGGGAGCTAAAAAGATATGTCGCGGTAAGACGCTCCATAGATCACATACTCTCAGGGAGAAAAATTGGACCTGAGTATGGTATTGGCTCTCTGGTGTGTTATCTTAACGGGTTTTCCTCGTGAAGACCGCTGAGTTGTAGGCAAAATTGATCTGTTTGCGTGGTCTGCCTGGTGGGCGATCTTGTATACCATAATAAGGTCACCCCTCTTCACAAGATAAGGTGAAGTCTTTCGGGATACGTCTTTCCCCCTAGCCCTACAACTGATTTTGTTGCAGTTCTTTGTATTTTTCCAAGGAGATTAAGGTCTCTCTTGGGTGTTGGGGGGGGGGCCACCGCATTGAAGACCTCTAAATGCGGCCGCACGTAGGGTTTGAAAATGGTGAGGAAGAGTTCGGGAGTAAGGGCGCCAAGCTGTCTATGCAAAAAGTGTAGAATGGCATTGGCTCTGGTTGTCATGCCTTTGTAGTTGAAGCTGGTGTCCAAGGTGTCGGAGAAGTTGAGCCCTAAATCCTTCTCCGTGGACACTCTGGTGATAGTATGGTTGCTCAACATGTACCGGGAGTCGGTCGTACTTGCTTCATATTCACTGATATGCATTACTTTACATTTTTCCAGGTTGAAGTCTTGGCCATTTTCCGACGACCGGAGTTCAAGTTGCTGCAAGTCCTTTTGTAGTGCTGGACAGTCAGCTTCTTCGTTTACCACCCTCCAAATTTTTATGTCGTCAGCGGAGAGGAGGCTGGGTGTGGATATTTTGTCTGGCAGAACGTTGATAGACAGGAGGAACAGAAGCGATCCTAGGATTGCTCCTTGGGATACTCCTGACATCGAGGGCCTCCACTCCGACCTTATTCTGTTTACTTTAGTGCAGAACTGCCTCCCTTCCAGGTACTCCTTGAACCAAGAGAGTAAGGGTTCACCTATACCAACTGACATGATCTTGTGAAGCAGGACTATGGGTGGGACACTGTCAAATGCTTTGGTTAGGTAGGGAAAAACAACATACACCGGTTCTCCGTTATCTCAGCTTAGTGTCCAGTCGTCCCAGGCGGTTAGTAAGTTGGTGGCACATGAGCGGCCACCCGAAAACCATGCTGAGCAGTATGCACAGTTTCTTCCCTGCTGAGGAATTCCCAGATAGTATCAGCTACCAGGCTTTCCAACACTTTCGACACAATAGGGAGTGGAGCAATTGGCCTGAAGCTACCAGGGCTTTTTCTGTCTCCTCCCTTGGAAATAGGTGACAAGATGGCGCTCTTCCATTCTTTAGGGAGTTTGCATGACTCTGCTGAGTGCTCAAAGAGGTTACAGAATGGTTTTGTAAGCACCTCGGTGCAGCTTTTAGAATCGCCGGTTTTAGGTTATCGCATCCAGGGGAATGGTCTGGACGTAGCCTAGATAGTTTCTCGAACACTTTTTTCTCTGTGATTGAGATGTGACAGAGGTATTCGTTATTTACGACCTGGTCGGTGTCGTAACGAGTCGGTGTGGGTTTTGTGTCGGTGCTAGGTTGGGCTTGGAAGTGCGTGCCCAAAAGCACTGCAATCCTTAGACCGCCTAGTATACTGCCATCATCACCTGTGACAAGATTCACTCCCTCACTGGTCGACTTTCTTCTCGACATGAAGCAGTACAAGTTTTCGGGGTTGCTTTGTGACCTCTCCGCCAGGCTTGTTGGATAGGAAAATCTGTCGCTACGCACTCTAATGTTACAGCGGTTGCGAATCCTTTTGTAGTTCAAGAAGTCAGACTCCCTACGTGATGTACGCCACTTGAACCAAGTCTGCTTCTTGCTCCGGATAAGCCCCTCCGTCCCACGCTTTAACCATAAGGTTCTCACTGATTGTCTGTGTGTTACTTCTGGTACACTGTGACTGATGGCCCCAGTGATTATTTTCTTCACCTCCAACCGGTGTTCATCTATTGTGAGATGAGCCCAGTCCACTGGCCATGATGCATTCATGAGGTAGTCCCTAATGAGCTAATAGTTGGCCTTGCTGTAGCAAGGGAAGGTGCTGGACGTCTCCAGTTGCACAGCCTCTCTAGTTATCATGGAGAAGGTGATTACAGCGTGGTCACTGAGGCCAAGGGGAGGTTGGATGCAAACATCCTCAATGAGAAGTTCATCGTTCGTCAGAACGTAGTGAAGGCGCGATGCGTTTCCGTTAGGTCCCCAGCGTGTGGCATCACCCACTTTCTCTGAGAGACCAGCAGTCTTAATTGCATTCTTCAGCTTCTGATTGAAGTATCCGATGTGTCTCCCTTTCGTCTCGAAGAGGATGGATGGGGTGTTGAAGTCACCGTCAATGACTACGGAATCGTAATTTGTAGAGGAAGTCGTTAAGATAGCCCTGGTGACCGTTTTCTTATGTGTAGGGGAGCTGGTGGGGGACCGATACATGGCTCCGAGCAGGTATTTGATACAGTGGAGAGTGAAGTGGCACCATAGAGACTCTGGGAGCTGGGCTAAGGCGGTATCGCTAACCACTCTTACCTTGAAACGGGAGCTTACATAGAGAGACACTCCCCCTCCTGCTTTGAGCTCTTTGTCCCTGGGGAAGAGTTCTATGCCCGTAACATGCGTCTCTTCGTCGGAGATGTCTGGCAAGAGCCAGGATTCAGTGATGTAGTAATTCTACCCACTCGACCGCTGTAGCTCTGGTTGGCCTGACGTGCGATTGGGCGTTGATTAACTTTGTAGGGGGTATGTGTTGTTGTTCCTTTTCCAGGGACTTTGGTACAGATGGGTTCCTCAAGATTCGTGCCAGCTGACGATTGGTAGGACTGGTTGTTAAAAAGGTGTGAAATATGTCCAGAGAAATCAAGAGAGAAGCAAGAAGGAAAAATAAACGGTAAAAAACGGTAAGTTGAAAGGAAGAGGTACGGAAGACGAAACATTAGTAGATTCGTGGGAGAGGGGTGGTGGGGAGGGTTTTTATTCGAGTGTGAGAAGGTAAAGTCGGCAGGAAGAGAAGGAGAAAATAATATTATAGGCTTATGGGAATAGATGTAGCAATTCTATAAGTAGGAGACGGTAACTGGAGGTCACGTCTATAGGGAAGTATAAGGTTGAGCCGAATTTGCAGCCATAGTGGTGTTACAAAGTGTTCCACAATGGGTTGGCCGTGCTGGGTTAGTAGTCCATATACCAGCTGGATAGGCGCAAGCTGTGAGCCGCTGCGTAATTGTCCAACCTCTTCTTGGAGCTGTCAAAAGACAGAGTAGTAGCAATCTTGGCAGGTATTGCGTTCCAGTGGCAGCAAACTCTCAGAGAGAAGTGTGACCACACATGGATTTTTGCCTTTAGGTGGGCGATTCTTCCTGGGTTACCACGGGGATCGCCACAGTGGCCGTTCGGTAGGATTCCACTCATCGGACGACTTGGGTTACTTAGTATTTTGTAAGTCGCTACCAAGTCACCACGCAGTCTACGGCAGCCTGGAGATAAGAGTCTTAGATCTTTCAGCCAATCCTCATAGGGTTTTCGCCTCACTCCCGCGACACTATTTGTAGCTCTCCTTTGGACTTTCTTTTGGAGGTTCACATCTCCTTTCACATATGGTGGTGCAGTGACGTTGTGGACCTCTAAGTGGGGTCGTATGTAGGTCTTGTACAGCTTCAAAAAGAATTTCCGGGTCAGGGCGCCCAGTTGTCTGCACATGAAGTGCAGTACTGAGTAGGCTCTGGAGGCATCTCCTGGATGATTGGGGCTAGTGTCTAGCTTGTCAGTTAGTATCACTCCTAGGTCTTTCTCCGTGGTGGTGTAGGAAAGTCGTGTTCCGCAGAAAGGATGGGGCGCCTTTTGAGGGTAAGAGGTATGGAGGAATGTGGCTCGACACTTACCGAGATTAAATGCGAGCCCATTAGCATACACCCGCTCTGCAAGCAATTTGTGATTGCTTTGCAGTGCCCTTGATTCTGTTTCGGACGTCGAAGCTCTTCACACCTTAACATCATGGAACTGAGGAGCCGAGATTCAGCGGGAGGTCGTTCACGAAAAGGAGGAATAACAGTGTACCCAGAATCGCCCCTTGCGATACACCAGATGGTGATGTCCTCCAAGTCGAGCAAACTGTGTTGGCTTTAGTGCAGAAATGTCTGCCGTCTAAATTGTTCTGTAACCAGGAGAGTAATCGGCCCCTGAAGCCCAA